CTTCTCAACTCTCCTGTTAATGTTGGTTGGTTTTCTTGTTTGTTTGTTTTATTTTTTGTTTTGAGATGGAGTCTCACTGTGCTGCCCAGGCTGGAGTGCGGTGGCACAATCTCAGCTCACTGCAACCTCCACCTTCTAGGTTCAAGAGATTCTCCTGCCTCAGCCTACTGAGTAACTGGGATTACAGGTGCCCACCACCACACCTGGCTAATTTTTTATATTCCTAGTAGAGACGGGATTTCACCATGTTGGCTAGGCTGGTCTTGAACTCCTGACCTCAAGTGATCCACCTGCCTTGGCCTCCCAAAGTGCTCTGATTACAGGCCATGTTGGTATTTTGACTTCCTCCTATTAATCACAAGTGTTCTTAATGGGATTTAGAATGATGAATCCTTTCCAGAAGATTTTCAGTTTCCTTTACCTAGATCTATCAAAGAAATAGCTCTATGGCACCCTTACAAAATGTAGTTTTTTAAAAAATAGGACTTGAAAGTCTATCCATCGGCAACAGAATGGATGTTGTGTTAGCAGACATGAGAACAACATTAATCTCCTGGGACATAGCCATCCAAGCTCTTGGGTGATTAAGTGCATTGCTAATGAGCCGTAATATTTTTAAAATAATACTATTTTCTGAGGAATAGGTCTCAACAGTGGGCTTAACATATTCAGAAAACCATGCTGTAAATAGACACGCTGTCATCCAGGCTTTGTTGTTCCATTTATAGAACACGATCAGAATTTGGCATAATTCTTAAGGACCCTAGGATTTTTCAGAATGATAAATGAAACACTGGCTTCAATCTAAAGGCACCAGCTGCATTAGCTCCTAACAAGAGAGTCAGATTGTCCTTTGAAGCTTTGAAGCCAGGCACTGACTTCTCCTCTCCAGCTATTAAAATCCTAGATGCTGGCCCAGCGTGGTGGCTCACACCTTTAATCTCAGCACTTTGGGAGGCCAAGGCAGGTGGATCACTTGAGGTCTGGAGATCAAGACCAGCCTGGCCAACATGGTGAAACTCTATCTCTACTAAAATGTATAAAAATTAGCCTGGTGCGGTGGCGGGCACCTGTAATCCCAGCTACTCAGGAGGCTGAGGCAGAAGAATTGCTTGAACCCTGGAGGTGGAGGTTGCAGTGAGCTGAGATGGTGCCACTGTACTCCAGCCTGAGCAACACAGTGAGACTCCGTCTCAAAAAAAAAAAAAAAAAAATCCTAGATGCCATCTCTTTCTAATATAAGGCTGTTTTGTCTACATGGAAAAGCTGTTGTCTAGTGCAGCTACTTTTATCGATGATCTTGGTTAAACTTCTGGATAACTTGCTGCAGCTTCTCCATCAGCACTTGCTTCTCCACTTTGTACTTTCGTGTTATCGAGACAGTTTCTTTCCTTAAACCTCATAAACCAATCTCTGCTAGCTTCACACTTTTCTTCGGCAGCTTCCTCATCTCTCTCAGCCTTCATAGACTCGAAGAGAGTTAGGGCCTAGCTCTGGATTAGGCAGGCTTTGGCATAAGGGAATATCATGGCTTAAGGAAACATCTGATCTTCTATCCAAACCACTAAAACTTTCTTTATATTGGCAATAAGGCTGTTCACTTTCTTATCATTCACATGCTCATTGGAACCACACTTTAATTTCCTTCAAGAACTTTTCCTTTGCATTCACAACTTGGCTAACTGGCACAAGAGGCCTCGCTGGGCTTTTGACATGCCTTCCTCACTTAGCTTAGTCATTTCTAGATTTTGATTTAAGGTGAAAGATATGTGACTTTTCCTTTCACTTAAACACTTAGAAATCATTGGGTTATTAATTGGCTTAATATCAATATTGTTGTATTTCAGGGAATAGGGAGGCCCAAGGAGAAGGAGAGAGTTTGGAGAAGGGCCAGTCAGTGGAACAGTCTGAATACATAAACACTTATCAATTAAGTTCACTGTCTTATCTGGGCACAGTTTGTGGCACCCCAAAATAATTACAGTGGTAACGTCAAAGATCACTGATCACAGCTCACCATAACAGATATAATCATAATAAAAAAGTTTGAAATACTGAGAGAATTACCAAAATGTGAGACAGAGACAAAGTAAGCACATGCTGTTGAGAAAATGGTGCCAACAGACTTGCTCAACACAGAGTTGTCACAAACCTTCCATTTGTGAAAAACACAATATCTTCAAAGTACAATAAAGCCAGGCACAATAAAACGAGGTATGCCTGTATAAACAGCAACTGTCGAGTGATGTTTTCCAGCTAGGATTAAAAGATTACATAAGGAATTTTTTAAAGGAATTCTATCTGGAAGAACTGAGCAACAATTAAGAATGTATTATAAAGGATATGATACTTACATATGTAAAATAAATTTACATAGTAAATTCCAACCAGAGTGAATGCTGCAGCTGGGTGTTAAAAATCTTTTAACCATACTGAGTTTGGCAGTGATTCTATACAAGGATATGATTTATATTCAAGGACTGACTATTTGGGTATCTCATCCAGATTCAAGATATCAAGACCCACATGGAATACAGCAATGAAGCCAAAGGAAGGAAAGGGAGAACTAATCATCATGGCTCTATTTCAGATGTAGCCCCTTTACCCATCTTACATTTCTGCACCTTTCATGCTTCTAAGCCAAATCAAACAGTTATCACAGAGCAGAAAACTTACATCTGGCCTAAGGGCCTACCCTTCAGAAAGGTACACATGCTGGAGGCAAGGAAGCTGGGCTGCAATTCTGGCAGATTTGTACTGCTTGGGTTGATCTACACTGACTCCAGCCACTCCTTTTCTACGGAAGATACTAAAGGCAGTAAGATGATAGTATTTCTTTAGTTTGCTCACCCCTGAGATTCAAAGGGAAAAGAATGACAGCAGGAAATTGTTGCAAGAGCTGGGCATCCAAAGTCACCAACTACCATAGGATTGTGTGTGAATGTCTGCATGTATGTATGCATGTACATACACAAACACTAGTATACTCTAGTGGTATGGTTCGGTTAAACACTATGAGTCAGGTCAGGAGCAGTCAACCACTTTTTACCGCTCAGGTTCCTTCTGGGAATTTGGTTTTTACTTCTAATGAGAAATCTGGAAAAGGCTCCACTGGTCAGCCTTCTCCTGGGAGAAAGATCACATTAATTTTCCTTCTCTCAGGACACTGGGAAATTCTGTTCACTTAGCCTTGTTAGAAGGTTTATCAGGAATTAATTTATGGTGACACAACCATGAGATATTAAGAGTCCCTACAGAATTAGATACAGCCTGCCTCATTCTTGTAAGGTCAACCTCATAGAGAACAAATATCTTTCTATTTAAGAACTCCTATTTGATCTGGGGGCACTTCCTATGTTCTTATGAGTATGACGCTTGGGACAGAAGTAGAAGGGACAACGTGTGTTTCATGGTGAGTAATGAGAGAGGAAAAGGACTGTAACTGACAAACCAGTGAGTACTGCCTGTGCTGCCTCCTCGCCTTAGGTAAAACAAGCACTGTCTATTAGACTGAAGAGGTGGTCTGATGTTCACAATCTAGACTCTTACAGAATTAGAAAATCATTACCAGCTATACATTCCTGGTGAGTAGGGTGGGAAGTTAGTGGTCACTTGGTACTGAGGGGGTATAGCAGAGATTATTAATAGACATAAAATCTACTAGGTATGCTTCTACATATTCCAGTCTTCCTTGTGGTTAGACTGGGGCTAGGTGATAAGTTCTTGCCAATGAAATGTATGTGGAAGTTCTATGCCACCTCTCGGATGAGGAGATTAAGGCACATGGGCTTCCAGTTCTCCTTTTCTTTGCTATGGTGTCCTTGGATGTCATCTGTTCCAGATGGCATGGCTACAAGATAGAAGAGGGCCAACCACTCTATATCAAATATTATTTGAGCAACATATAAACCTTTGTTATTTGTCACTGTATCAGCCTAGCCTGTCCTGACTAATACAGGAACCAAAGCAGTGTTCCATTTAGGATACCAGAAACTTCATGCAAGAAATTAAGCTACTCACACCCACAATGTATAGTTCCTTTTAGAGACACAAACTCTACAAGGATGTTTCCCAAGACTCTCTTCAACAAAACTTTGTCTCTGAAGGAGAATGGTTTGCCATGAAATAGTAACTTCAAGTGTAGAGGCTATCTCTCCTAAGGACACACATATTCCAAATATCATAAAGCATCCAAAATGTACTGAACAGCTCATGAAATCTCTTCCTAGGCACCTATCATCTCCTTCTGCTACTTCCCATTTTACTGATGACACTGGACACAAATGCTGGCTTGTAGCCTTTGTACACAGAACTCTCTCATACATTAGGTTCCCATAAAAAACAGGAGACACAACTAAGTTTCTATTTATCAAACCTATCTGATGGTGTCAAGCACCTGTAGTCCCAGCTACTTGGGAGGCTGAAGCAGGAGGATTGCCTCAGCCCAGGAATTCAAGTCCAGCTTCGGCGACATAGCAAGATTCCATCTCAAAAAAAATATCTCAGTATCTCATAGGCCCTGGTTCAGCATACTTTTAAAGTTTAGAATAGGAGGGAGAGGATCATCCTTCATTCACTGTCTCCAAGATGTCTACCATTCACCTCAATCTCTCATTGAACCAGAAGGCCCAGCATAAGATAGGAAGCACAACACTTCATTTATTTTTTTTAATTTTATTTTTTGAGACAGAATCTCACTCTGTAACCCAGGATGGAGTGCAGTGGAATAATCTCCATTCACTGCAACCATTGTCTCCCAGCTCAAGAGATTCTCCTGTCTCAGCCTCCTGAGTAGCTGGGACTACAGGCATGAACTACCACATTTGGCTATTTTTTTTTTTTTTTTTTTTTTTTTTTTGTATTTTTGGTGGACACAGGGTTTCACCATGTTATCCAGGCTGGTCTCAAACTCCTGACCTCAAGTGATCCACCTGCCTTGGCCTCCCAAAGTGCTGGGATTACATGTGTGAGCCACCATGCCTGGCCAGGAAGCACAGCAGTTTAAACCTTGAAAACAAAAGGGCGGGAACAACTTTGGCTTGACACTCTTCACAAACGAGGGAAGACCTCTTTTAGCTATTTTTCCCTATAACCAGTTGAAAGCTCTGCCTTTCAGAGCATCTACTTACTGAGCTGACAGGGACCCCACTTTGCTTATTGCAAAAGACCAAACTATGTCTTTAAAAATGTTTCTTTAAAAAGCAGGTCACATCACCAATGAAAGTTTGAGAACTTACATACGCAGATAAATATTTTTCTTGGGTTACTGACATGATAAAAATTTCGATATATTCTCCCCCTAAAGGAACTGGTGAGAAGGCCTGTCTGGTGGTAAGGGGCTAGACAAAAGCCATGGCTTGGGTTGTGTGTACAAGCTTACCCCTTGCTCCGCAGCTGGAATCTGGTTCTGTTGGGAGAAGCCAGTCGGAGACGTCCTTACATCTCTGACCCCAAAAACCTCTTCTGAGCACTGCCCAACACTCCTGTTATACAACATGTAAAATAAATAATCAACCTTAAAAGTCAGGCAGCCAAAGCTCTACTCGAATAATAAGTCCTTTTACAAACTGCTTGTCATCTGCCAAAATCAGCTCCAAAGGAACACTAGGAACTCAACATTCTATTGTTCTCATTAACTACTTGGGGGAACTAGACAGGCTTCAGTGGCTTTATTGGTTTTCTGAGAGACAAGCGACATTAAGATTTTCATCTACTTGCACCTTGTCTTTGATCTCAATAACTTAAATGTAGCTCCAGTCCCACCATCTCTGAGAGGCCTCTGTTAAAATGGTGAGCTAGAAAGGGGCCCCAGCCCTTTCTTAGAACATATGCTATTCTCTACTTCTCTCCTGCCTGATTGTTACGGTGGGAAAGAAACAATCTAAATGCCAACTTTTTCAGAAAAATCATTGAAAGGGAGGGAGAGGGCCAGACAGTAGCATCTGAAATTTAGTCTTCTGCTGGTAAGGGCCCTCTGGCTTAAGTTCAAAAGGAAAGAGGCGCTTTGCCCAAGGAAAGCTATTTAAAACTGTTTGGTACACTTTGGAAAGCCTCATGGTACACTGTTGGCCCAGAACAGGTTATCTGGGATTCAAAATGCAGGGTGAGGTTTTTTTTTAGGCATCAGACAAGATTTATTGATGTGACAATTCCATATTTCCTGAGAAGCATTAAAATTTATCTGAGGCCCCTAAACTAGAAGGTAGTATCAACACTGGTCTTGGTTATATGCATTTATCATAAAATTCACTCAAGCAGCAAATTGAAGTTTCCACAAAACAATTAGCCCTGTTTCTCTTTCCATGCAAAAAGGACAGACAGAAGCTATTCAAACATTCTTTTTCAAACCAGATGTGAATAAAGAATCCTCAAGTCTAGATGCAGTGTTGAATCCAGCAACAGTGCTCCTAAAACCAACCAGATCTCTCAAAAGGCAAGGGAGGGAGGGGGAGGTGAATGGCAGTACAGTCACTGTGCTGCCAAGTGAGACAGAGAGCATCACTGTCTGGAGGTCTCTCATTAAGTGGTCTTATTAAGAAAATCTTCCAGGTAAATGCTTTCAGTGAAACAAAACAAACAAAAAAGAAAATCTGATGGGAGAAATCTGTTATAAAACTCATCTCTGATGAACCACAAAAGGGATTTCAATGTGTACTTGACATTAATATCCCAGGACTGTCAACCCACAGATGCAAAGCTCAGGATTTCCCTTCTCTATAAGGTCTTACTACCCTGCCTTTTCCTGTTACTGTTCCCTCCTGTTAAATTGGTCCCTTCTTCTGTTAGGTTCCATACATATGCATTTGATCGCACTTGTTTCCTTCACTAGCTTGTAGGTTTTCTGAGAGCAGGGACCCAGCCTTATTCATCTCTGTACCTCCATTGTTAGCACAATTCCTGGAACATTGTAGGTATTCATTAAATCATTTAATTGCTGATAAGATTGATAATACTTATAGTTGGCTGGATGCCGTGGCTCACTCCTGTAATCCCAACACTTTGGGAGGCCAAGGCGGGTGGATCACGAGGTCAGGAGTTTGAGACCAGCCTGACCAACATGGTGAAACCCTGTCTCTACTGAAAATACAGAAAAAAATTAGCTGGGTGTGGTGGCAAGCAATTGTAATCCCAGCTTCTCAGGAGGCAGAGGCAGGAGAATCGCTTGAACCCAGGAGACAGAGGTTGCAGTGAGCCGAGACGGTGCCACTGTACTCCAGCCTGGATGAACTGCGCTGCAGCCTGGGTGACAGAGCGAGACTCCGTCTCAAATAATAATAGTAATAATACTTATAGTTAACGTTTGAGTGTTCAGAAACTGTATGTTTAACATCCTATATTTCTCCTCATTTTCCAGGTGAGAGAGCTGAGGCACTGAGATGTTAAGTGTCATGCCTAATCTCATCCAGCAAATAAGTAGCAAAGCAACAATACAAACTAGGTGATTGGCTCCAGAACCTTCTTTTTTTTTTTTTTTTTTTTTTTTGAGACCAAGTCTCATTCTGTCACCCAAGCTGGAGTTCAGTGGCACAATCTCGGCTCACTGCAACCTCTGCCTCCTGGGTTCAAGCAATTCTCCTGCCTGAGCCTCCCAAGTAGCTGGGATTACAGGCGCGTGCCACCACGGCCAGCTAATTTTTAGTAGAGATGGCGTTTCACCGTATTAGGCAGGATAATCTAGATCTCCTGACCTCATGATCTGCCTGTGTCGGGCTCCGAAAGTGCTGGGATTATAGGTGTGAGCACCGCGCCCAACCCTATTCTTAACTACTACACAGAGTGGTACACAGGAATGAATGAGTGATCTCATAAAAGGGCTATATACCTATGAAACTATTAAATAAGAACTTAAATTGGTTTGATTTAGAAACCTGGTTCATTCACACAAAAATGGATTAAGTACCTAGTACTCTCTGCCAAGCCCAGCAGCATGCATTAGTGGTACAAAGACAAAAATATGGTCTTATTCCTCAATGAGAAGAGAGACAAATGACAAAAGGTCACTAAGCACTTACTATGTGCTGGGCACTGTTCTAAGTACTTCACATTGTTAATCTCTTTAATCTTTACAAAATCCCTATTATGAAACCCTTATTATATTGTTATTATTAAATTGAGATGAGACAGATAAGAAACTGAGGCTCGGGGAGCTTAAGCAACTTGCAAGAGCCACCATTTGAATACAAACAGCCTAGCTCCAGAACCCACGCTCTCATCACTACCCTCTACTGCCTTTTCAGTTTACAACCACACAACCACAACACAGTGTGATATATGCTAAGAGAAAGAAAGAAAAAAAAATATTAGAGATGCAGAGAGGAAATGATGACTCTTGCCAGAGAGGGGGCTCAAAGAAGGCTCTGTGGAGCAGGTAACATATGAGCTCAGCCTTGAAGGCATAAGAATAGGAAAGAAATGGAGACTGGGCACAGTGGCTCACTCCTGTAATCCCAGGACTTTGGGAGGCTGAGGCAGGCATGTCATTTGAGGTCAGGAGTTTGAGACCAGCCTGGCCAACATAGTGAGACTCCACTTCCACTAAAAGTACAAAAATTAGCCAGGCGTGATAGCAGGCACCTGTAGTATCAACTGCTTGGGAAGCTGAGGCAGGAGAACTGCTTGAACCCAGGAGGTGGAGGTTGCAGTGAGCCAAAATCACACCACTGCACTCCGGCCTAGGCGAAAGAGGGAGACTGTCTCAAAAACATAAAAATAAAAATAAAAAATAAAAAAATGCAAACCAAAACGCTACATGAAGCCCAGTAAAATTTGCATGTGTTTTCAAAGCCATCACTACTAAAGTACAAAGCTAAGAAGCAAACCCAGCACCATACTGTCTTCTGCTGCTGAGGCCACATCTCACCAAGGAACAGGGAAATGACCAGTGACTCTGTGGCTAGAATGTTTATGTCAAGTTTCCCACTTGGTTGAAACATTGCCTGGGGTTTTAGTCAGCTTCACAGTACCTGTAAGAACTTCTTTTCCTCTCCCTTCCATGCAATAGATAATATTTCTGGAAGGAGATCCTTAGACTCTCTTTAGTGTAACTTGAGGCCAGATCTTCCAAAGTTAGAAAAAGAGGCCAGAATCACCATGTAGGTGAAAAGGATAGCTGGACCTCACAGCCCCAGTTTTTTTCCATACATGAAGATACTCCGTTCTGCTAACTGCAGAGGTTCTGAATTCAGTTTTATTAAAGAGCATCCATGGGTTCCCTTAGAGTTCATTCCACTCAAACCTATTGGCAACATCCCCTCCTGTCATATCTGCCTTCCCTGACGATTACTGGGTACAACCCCCAAGAAATGAAGGTGAATAAGTACAAGTGAACTGAACTCTCAGTAAGTACTCCCAGAGCAAACTTGCAATTATTTCTCCCACTCAAAATACCCTTTCTTGATCCCACATACCATTTGAGTTACTGTCTCATTTCTCTGCTCATCTCTAAAACAAAAATCTTCAAAAGATTTGTCTATACTGTCTACAACTTTTTTTCTTCTCTTCCCTTTTCGAACCATTCTCATCAAGCTTTTGTCCACTGAAACAGCTTTTATCAAGGCTACTAGTGACCTCTACGTTGTTAAATTCTACCAAAAATTCCCAGCCCTCATCTTACTTGGCCAACTGGAAGTATTTTTCACAGTTGATCATTCTCTCTTCATTGAAGCATCTTCTTCCCTTGGCTTCCAGGATACCATTCTCTTCTGCTTTTCCTACTACCTTCTGGCCACTTTTTCTTAGCCTCCATTGCTTGTTCCTCTTTACGTTCCTAAACTCTAAATGTTGAGATGTCTCAGGGCTTGGTCCTTGGTCGCCTTCTCTTCTCTAACTGTTCTCACTCCTTGGTGATTTCGTCCATATCATACCTTAAATACTATGTAGATGCCTATGACTCAAAAATCTTTATATCTGGCCTGAGCCACTCCTCTGAATGCCAGGCTCAGACATCCCACAGCATATTCAACATCCCCACTTAGATGTCTAACTGGCAGCTCAAATTAAACACATCCAAAATTGAACTTCCAATATACTCCCAACCCTGTTCATCTGACAGTCTTCACCATTACAGTTAGTGTCAACTCTATCTTTCCGACCATTCAGGCCAAAAGCCTTGGCATCATCTTGGACAGAGATGCTGTGTTACAGAACTCCAGGGGGCACCAGTCACATTTTCGTCAATGCTATTAGTGTTATGCCATATGGTGACCCTACTTTTCTTGATTCCTCTCGTATCCTCCATCTGATCTGTTAGCAAATCCAATTGGCTCTACCTTCAAAATGTACCTAAAATCCAACAACTTCTCCCCAATTCCACTGTTCCTCCCCTGACCCAAGCTTGCCCCCTTATAATTTACTTCCACAAAACAACCACAGCAATCCTTAGAAAATATAAGTCAGATCACATCACTCCCCTACTCAAAATTCCCCAATGCTTCCCACCACATTCAAAATTCTTACAATAGCCTACAAGATGCTGCATTGCTTTTTTCTTTTATATTTATCCCTACCTACCAGACTGTATCTTTTCTCTCTTTATATCACTTACTGCCTGCTGCCCATATGTGAATATAAGCTCCATGAAGTCAGGGACTTGGTCTGTTTTATTCACAGATGAAGCCCCAGCATATACAGCAATATTTGACACAAAGTATGCACAATATGTATTTAATGTAAATGGAATGAATGAAATAGATTGGTTAGGGGGAAATCTTGGCACGTGAGCCAGAATTATACCAAAACACAATATGACAAGTGAAATGGCATTTGAGGAGCCAGCTCGTGCTGTGACATCGTCAAACCCCAGGAGATGTTTTCAGTTCCTACTTCCTACCATTGTTTTGACATTTTGTCTGAGGAAGTCTTCCTTCTTTTGTCTCCTGGAGAGAAAGAAATTGACTATATAGCATAGCAAGGAGCTCCCTCTAGTGGAAGCCACTCCATCAAAGCAATGGAATAGAAAATCATAGCTTGGTGCTTGAAACTACAAAGATGACTGGGGACAAAGGAAGTGACTCCACCATTTCACAGGAAAAATCCTCAGTGGAAACATTGGGGAACCAAAGATTGGATCTGAAGTACATGGTAGAACTTACCAATTCACTTTACTGTTGAACCTCTTTTGCATCTGACGATGGGGAAAAAAATAATTCATTTAAAATCGAACAACAGGCCAGGCACAGTGGCTCACGCCTGTAATCCCAGCACTTTGGGAGGTCAAGGAAGGGCAGATCACTTGAGGTCAGGAGTTTGAAACCAGCCTGGCCAACGTGAAGAAACTGCTAAAAATACAAAAAAATAGCCAGGCCTGATGGCATGCACCCATAATCCCAGCTACTCGGGAGGCTGAGGCACAAGAATTGCTTGAACCCGGGGAGTGGAGGTTGCAGTTAGCTGAGATCGTGCACTGCACTCCAGCCTGGGCAACAGAGCGAGAATCTGTCTCAAAAAAAAAAAAAAAAAAAAAAAGTTGAACAACATATGTACCTACTCTCAAGGAATTTAAAATCTGGTAGAGAATGTAACTCATGAATACAAATAAGCACAAAGCAATGAGTATGGATGTAAATCAGTGAATATGAGCCAAACGAGATGAATAAACTAAAAGATATGACTCACCCAGGAAAAAGAGGGATTATTTTAGGCTGAGGAAATCCAGGAAAACATCTTGGAGGGAGTAGTTCTTGAGCGGCACCTTGAAAGACAAACAAAATTTAAATAAGCAAGTACTACAAGTAAAGACCGAAATCTAGAGAAGGGCACATCATGTCAGATTCCAAGCAGATCAGCGGGGCTTTGTAAAGGTCACAATTTGGGTGACAACACAGAACCTGAAACCCTCCTTGAAAAGAGCAGAGAGGGATTAGTGAGACAAAGGTCCTTGGCAAAGGTAAACACAGGCAGAAACCAAAGAAAGTCCCTTTCTTCATTTTCCCTTGGATGAAGGAGCACGACTTAAATATATAGGAAAAAAAAAGAAAATAATATAACTGGAAGTAGTTATTCTCTTCCACAGGCATGCCTACTGAGGCAATTTTCTGGTTAATCTAGAAGAGGGGTCCATAAACTTTTTACTTAAAGGGCCAGATAGGCTGGGCACAGTGGCTCATGCCTGTAATCCCAGAACTTATGGGAGGCTGAGGCGGGTGGATCACTTGAGCCCAGGAGTTCAAGACCAGCCTGGGCAACACAGTAAGACCTCATCTCTATAAAAAATTTAAAAATTAGCTGAACATGGCAGGGCACACCTGTAGTTCCAGCTACTTGGGAGGATGAGGTGGTTCGGTCGCTTGAGCCCAGGAGTTCAAAGCTGCAGTAAGCTGTGATTACTCCACTGCACTAGAGCCTGGGTGACAGAGTGAGACCTTGTCTTATAAATAAATACATAAATGAACAGATTGTAAATATTTGTGACTTTGTAAGTCATATACAGTTTCTGTTGCAGCTACTCAACTCTATCATCAGAGGGTAAAAGCAGTGATAGACAATACATAAATAAATAAACAATAAAACTTTATTTACAAAAATAGATGACAGACCAGATTCGGTCCACATACCGAAGCCTGCTGACTCCTGGCCTACAATAAGAGAACCAGTTACATGATTCCAATGCTTAATCACATCAGGCTTTGGTAGCCTGATGTGCTCATGCACACAATAGACATACACCTAACTCTAGTATCAGATTGGGCAGGTTCTTGGGCTGGGTTCCTTCTTTTCTGACCAGTGCTTAGATGTATACTGCCAATATTTGCCTCTCTGGTCTTTCTTTTTAATTGCTGGTCACCCTACAAAATCCCATCTCATTTTGAAAACCTCCATTATAAGAAAGCTATTGATAGGGCTATTGTTAGGGCTCATAAGGTAGCATTTATCTTGATACATTTTCTGCTTTTTCATGGTCTGGACTTCACCTTGGCTTTGCAGGATAAGAAATCCAATCTAGGCCAGGTATAGTGGCTCATGCCTGTAATCCCAACACTTTGGGAGGCCAAGGTGGGTGGATCACCTTAGGTCAGGAGTTCAAAACCAGCCTGGCCAACATGGTGAAACCCCGTCTCTACTAAAAACACAAAAATTAGCCAGGCAACAGTGGTGGGGGCCTGTAGTCCCAGCTACTCAGGAGGCTGAGGCAGGAGAACTGTTTGAACCCAGGAGGTGGAGGTTGCAGTGAGCCGAGATCATGCTACTGCACTCTAGCCTGGGTGACAGAGCAAGATTCTGTCTCAAAAAAAAGAAAGAAAAAGAAAAAAGAAATTCAATCTAGAGTCATCTGAAATTGGGAAGACTATGAAAGCTCTACTTACCAGTAAAACTCCCAGAGGAATGCCAGCAGCATCAGTTTGCATTCAGTAGCATTTCACAGAGAATACCCCGATACTTTGTTACCTGCAAGGGAGAGGGGAGCCTCCATTCTCACATGTTTTCCTGCCCTGCAAAAAACATAGTGACAAATTTGACAATGTGAATACTTACAAGAGGCATTAGCTATCAGCTTTGTTAAAAGAGAGATTATTTTTTAAATTAGAAATAATCTGTTATTTTTACAAAAGCAGTATATATTCATTGTGAAAAATTCAAAAGCAAAAATAACTAAATAGAACATTGTGTTCCCATCACACAGAAATCACCACTGTTAACAGCCTAGTATATATCATTTTACATATTTTTCTAAGTATGTATAATACGTAATGCAATTTATACCAAAAATGAAATAGTATACAAAATGTTTTACAACTGCCCTTTTCAGTTAGTGACCTCTACCATTTCATGTTAATAAGTTTTCACATCTTCTAATAACCATCCATATTCAAATTTCCCTAACTTTCCCAAAAATGTCCTATAAAGCAAATTTGTTCAAATCATGATCCAATCTCGGACCATATACTACATCTTAAGTCTCTTTTCATTGACAACAGTATCCTCTTTCTGGACAAAAATTTTGAAAAAACTTTGTTTCGGCCTGGCTCAGTGGCTCACACCTGTAATCCCAGCACTTTAGGAGGCCGAGGTGGGCAGATCACCTACGGTCGGGAGTTTGAGACCAGCCTGACCAACATGGAGAAACCCTGTCTCTACTAATAATACAAAAATTAGCCAGTCATGATGGTGCATGCCTGCAATCCCAGCTACCTGGGAGGCTGAGGCATGAGAATTGCTTGAACCCGGGAGGTGGAGGTTGCCGTGAGCTGAGATTGCGCCATTGCACTCCATCTGGGGCAACAAGAGTGAAACTCCATTTCAAAAAAAAAAAAAAAAAAAAGGTTTCATGCTATATCCCCAATTCATTTAACAGTTCTTGGTACATAATAGTAACTCAATAAATGTTGGTATAATTAACTAATCAAAAACTTAGGGGGTGGGAGATTCATGCTAGAGTTTATCTCATCAACCCATTACCCTTTATCTCCATTTTATAAATAATAAAAATAAAGACCAGAGACGTAAAGTGACTTCCCAAGGTCACATAGCAAATACATGTCAATTGCTTTCCATATTTCTTTTTATTCTATTAAACCAGGAGTTGGCAAGCTTTTCTGTGAAGGTCAGAGAGTTAATAATTTAGAATTTATGAACCAAGAAGCAAGATCGAGGATATTATATAGGTATTTACATGAGAGCAAACAAAATTCTGCAATTTTTTTTGAGAGGGAGTTTTATTCTCTGTCCCTAGGCTGGAGTACAGTGGCATGACTTGGCTCACTGCAATCTCCACCTCTGGGATTCAAGTGATTCTCCTGCCTCAGTCTCCTGAACAGCTGGGATCACAGGCATGCATCACCATATCCAGCTAATTTTTGTTTTTAGTAGAGACAGGGTTTCACCATGTTGGCCAGAATGGTCTCAATCTCCTGACCTCATGATTCGCCCACCTCGGCCTCCCAAAGTGCTGGGGTTGCAGGCATGAGCCACTGCTCCCAGCCAGTAACATTAATTTTTTATTAATGAAATTAAAAATGTAATAACAATTGACTATAAGGTTTTATAATACAGTTCTACTAATGAAAACATTAGAATAAGAAATAAAATTTTGCTCCATTGGGGTTGAAAATTAGTATTCCCTATCATCAAATTTGTTGTCATTATTCATCTGAAAACATTCTTAGCTCACAGGTCATAGATTGCCAATCCATCCCTGTACTACCCCATGCAGCTCATTTGTGGTTTTCTTTTAAAGTTTAAGTGAAAGTAACATTCCTCATAATTGACAGTTACATTTGGGTGCTAGCATATTGGAGCTATATGATAGTAAAGCCCCAATGAGGAAAATAATTCCTCAGCCATATTTTTTTTTTTTCTGTCGCCCAGGCTGGAGTGCAATGGTGTGATCTCGGCTCACTGCAACCTCTGCCTCCTAGGTGCAAGCGATTCTCCTGCCTCAGCCTCCCGAGTAGCTGGGATTACAGGTGCACACCACCACACCCAGCTAATTTTTGTATTTTTAGTAGAGATGGAGTTTCACCTGTGTTGGCCAGGCTGCTCTCAAACTCTTGAACTCAGGTGATCTGCCCACCTGGCCTCTGACGGGATTACAGGCGTGAACCACTGCACCCAGACCACGTTTTTTACAAGTATGTATTGTGTTACTTCAGTTACTCTAGTACCTAACTATTGAGCATGCCTGTCTTCTTTCATTTAAATGGACAAAAGGTAGGCTGCATTGTGACTGTTGCTTCCATAATTTACCATATGTTAATATTTAATAGAGCTGACCAACTTAAAGATCAGTGCAAGTGAGGATGGTAATTGGCCTATGTTGGGGCTTCTTTTTCTCAAATAAAAATATGCTCTTTAAAGATAAACGGGAAAATATTCAAAGAGTTAAAAGAACAGAAAGTAGTTGCTTTTGGGGACAACATGGAATGGGGAGGAAAGTGAATGATTCCTCTTTTAAAAAAGCAAATCTTGGCAGGGCACAGTGGTTCACGCCTGTAATCCCAGCGCTTTGGGAGGCCGGGGCAGGTGGATCACCTGAGGTCAGGAGTTCAAGACCAGCCTGGCCAACATGGTGAAACTCCATCTCTACTAAAAATAAAAAATTAGCTGGGCATGGTGACAGGCGTCTGTAGCCCCAGCTACTGAGGAGGCTGAGGCAGGAGAATCACTTGAACCCGGGAAACAGAGGTTGCAGTGAGCCGAGACTGCACCACTACACTCCAGTCTGGGTGACAGAGTGAGACTCTGTCTCAAAAAAAAAAAAAAAAAGCAAATCTTGTAGAACTATTTGATTTTTCAAAACTACAGTATGATACCTGTAATCCCAGCACTTTAGGAGGCTGAAGTAAGAGGGTCACTTGAGCCTAGGCGTTCAAGACCAGCCTGGGCAACATGGTGAAACCCTGTCTTTTTTGTTTTTTCTTTTCTTTTATTTCTTTTTTTTTTTTTTTTTTTTTTTTTTAGAGGTAGTCTTGCTCTGTCACCCAGGCTGGAGTGCAGTGACACGATCTCTGCTCACTGCAACCTCTGCTTCTTGAGTTCAAGCAGTTCTCCTGCCTCAACCTCCTGAGTAGCTGGGATTACAGGTGCACACCACCACAGCCAGCTAATTTTTGTATTTTTAGTAGAGACAGGGTTTCGCCATGTTGGCCAGGCTGGTCTTGAGCTCCTGACCTCAGGTGATCCACCCACCTCAGACTTCCAAAGTGCTGGGATTACAGGGTGAGCCACTGCACTTGGCTGCAAAACCCTGTCTCTATACAGCATTTAAAAATTAGCCAGCTGTGGTGGTGTGCACCCATAGTCCCAAGTATTTGGGAGACCGAGGTGGGGGGATTGCTTGAACCCAAAAGGTTGAGGTTGCAGTGAGTTGTGATCACACACACCACTGTACTCCAACCTGGATGACAAAGTGAGACCCTGCTTCAGAAAAAAAAAAAATCTGCAGTATGTACTAGTACAATTTTGATTACAATAAACAAAAGAAAACCAGAGGCACATCAAGACCTCTCTGGAAAAGGTTTCCTTAGGACTTTCCTCCACCCGCCTTCAAGCATGGTTAAGTGTTCCTCTTCTCTGCTCCCCAGAGCATCTTGTCCTCAACTCCCTTCAGATAACTTAACAAGATGTACTGTCACTGTTTGCTGTCTGTCTTCCCGAAGGAACCATGAGCTCCTTGCAAGGAAGGACTATGTATTATTCATTTCAGCTCCTAATTTTTATAACACTAAAATGGCATTCGTTAAATGAAGTGAAACCCACTAAACCAAATGCACCAAAAGTCACTCAATCTAGGCAAATTAATATCACAATGAGACACCGATCAAAAAGACAGACAAGAAAGTATTGATAAAGACGTGAAGAAATAGAAATCCTCATACATTTACCAGTGAGAACAGAAAATAGTGCAGCCACTTTGGAAAACAGTCCAGAAGTTCCTAAAAACTTAAACATACAGTTACTGTATTACCTAGCAATTCCACTCCTAGGTACATACCCAAGAGAACCCAAAACATATGTCCACACAAAAACCTGTATACAAATATTCCCAGAATTATTCATAACAACCAAAAAGTGGAAACATCTCAAATGTTTATCAACTGATGAATAGAAAAACAAAATATGGTATATCCATACAATGTAATATCATTTATCCAGAAAAAGGGAGTACTGATAATGTTACAAAATGGATGAACCTTGAAACATCATGTTAAGTGAAAGAAGCGAGACACAGGCCGGGCACAGTGGCTCACGCCTGTAATCCTAGCACTTTGGGAGGCCAAGGCAGGTGGATCACCTGAGTTCAGGAGTTCAAGACCAGCCTGGCCAACATGGTGAAACCCCATCTCAACTAAAAATATAAAACAATTAGCTGGGAGTGGTGGCAGGTGGTACTCCAGAAGGCTGAGACAGGAGAATCACTTGAACCCAGGAGGCAGAGGTTGCAGTGAGCCAAGATCACACCATTGCACTCCAGCCTGGGTAACAAAAGGGAAACTGTCAAAAAAAAAAAAAAAAAAAAAAACAAGAGAGAGGGAAAGAAAGAAGTCAGACACAAAAGGCCACATATTGTGTGAGTCCATTCATATGAAATGTCCAGAAAAAGCAACAATATAGAGACAGAAAGCAGAAAAATAGTTGCCTAGGGCTAAATATGCAAGAAGCGATGAACTGCAAATAGCTTCTGGGAATTCGTGGGGGATAGGATAAATGTTCTAAAACTATATTGTGATGATGGTTACATATCTAATAATGTAATAATCTATTATATTATTCCCATGCGCCTCCCCACTGGTCTTGGAGAGATGAGCTTTAAGCATACATCAAATTGTGCACTTAAAATCAGTGGATTTGATGATATGTAAAGTACAAAGCTGGGGAAAAAAATCCACAATTTACTATATTATTCAGTTTCTTTCTAAATTGTTTTTCCTCAAGTAGAGTACCTCAATTAAGAACTGTGGTAAGGCAGGGCATGATGGCTCATGCCTGCAATCTCAGCATTTTGGGAGGGCAAGGCAGGTAGATCACCTGAGGTCAGGAGTTCAAGACCAGCCTGGCCAACATCGTGAAACCGTCTCTACTAAAAATACAAAAATTCGCTGGGCGTGGTGGCAGGAGCCTATAATCTCAGCTACTTGGGAGGCTGAGGCAGAAGAATTGCTTGAACCCAGGAGGCGGAGGCTGCAGTGAGCAGAGATCGCACCACTGCATTCCAGCCTGGGTGACAGAGTGAGACTCCATTCCCACCCCCACCTCCCAGAAAAAAAGGAAAAAGAAAAAAGAAAAAGAAGGAACCGTGGTGAAGGAAGTTGCTGAGGCATTTCTGTCGGCTGGGGCTTGGGGCTGTGCTGCATAGACATCACAGCCAGCATCTCAGTGTGTGAAATTGTAGGATGTCTTGAGGTGTACAACGTGTTTCCAGTTAAGTGACCTCAGTGTGTAGTCTGGACACTCCCTGGCCTCTCTGGCAATTTAAGTGTGCGAGTGCCTAAGGCCTCTACACCAAGCAAGAAACTAATCAGGTAACAAACTCCTTGAAACTCCCCAGCCCAGTTCACAACCAGGTGAATTGTTCTATTACGGCATATCCATGAAAATGATTGATCAAATGACTGATTTGATTTTCTCCTTTTTTTTGGAGTGTGGGCAACTGGGTAAGTGCTTATTGGGCAAGAATGTCTAACCAGATCAGCTAAGAGATAGAAAGTCCATCCCGTCGGCCCCGCTCCCCTGGGATACTACAGGGGAAAGCTCATCTCTCCAAGGCCAGTGGGGAGGCGCAATGGGATTTAACAGCACCTCTCCTGGCTAGGAGAAAGGCTGGGACAAAGTCACTCCTTTGTTGCATTGAGAGAAGGGCCAAACCTGCCACAATGTCAGGGTGAGGTGTCTGTTCCCGGGGCCTCCCAGGGACCGGGAAGCTCACGCGGCTGCTCCCAGACTTTAGTCGCTTTCGCCGCTGCAGCCTCACTGTCCGGCCCGCGCGCGGCGAAACGAGCAGGCGGTGGAGGGAGGAAAGCAGCCAGAAACGGCTCGGCACTTCGCCGCTCCCTCCTCGCAGCCGTCCGGGAATCCCAGGCGGTCCCCCACGACCCTGCGCGTGACCCCCTAGTCACGTAGCCGCCGTCCCTTTCGGTTTACGCCATTGTTTCTGGCGCCCCCTGGTGACCGGAGGAGAGCAGAGCTGGCCCCGCCAGACCTAGCCGGTTGGTCCGCTGGACCGCACATGAGCCGGCGGAGCGGTCTCCGCCTCTGCGGCGGAAATGGCCGCGTGGGTGGCACCGGGGCGGGCTCCGCGACGCCCAGGGAGCTGACCCAAGCCCGAGCTGGAGTGAGTGGAAGCTGCTTCCACCCTTTCCTCCCTTCTCCCAAAAGGGAAAAGGACCCTTGCGAAGACAGAATGGCCAGATAATTATTTGAACCTGGATTCCAGCTCCCTTGTGCAAAAACGGAAGAATGAAGCAGGGTTTGGGGGTGTTTGTTTGATTAACAGGGTTTTGCTGATGTCCTTGGAAACATGTATTTGTAGCCCCGAGATTGTGAGCTAATTATTAATTTTGAGTCTCATTCTCCTCTTCTATAAAATACGGACAATAATGATGACGTGTTTGTGAGGATTCACAGGTGTTTGTGAGGATCAAATGAAATAATCCACCTGAAGGTTTTAGCAGACACGTTAAAACTAGTTGTTTACCTTTGAACTACCTAGTTTAGCAACTAATTCAGGTCTCAATAAACACCTTCCGGAAACGAAAAGATTTTGACATTATATAAAATAAACACGTGCCTAAGGTGAATTGCCCATTAAAAATGTATGTATATGGGAATTAAAATCGTCCATCTCCAAACTCGGCTTGCACACTGAGAATCAAAAACCACCCTTCAGCATCTGCATAAAAAGGACTTTGCTAGTCCCCTGTCTTCATTCACATTACTTTTCCAGAAAGTTCTCTGCAGGCAAATCCACAAAGACCCATCAACTCGTCAATGAACAGCACCAACATTTCCCACACTACAATTTTTTGAATGCCTCATTAAAATCCTCCCCTTGCTGCCCCACCAATCCTAGACTGTTGGTATCTCATGGTTCTTACCCAATCCCAATCAAATCCCCGCATTGAAAGATCCACCACCTTAAGCTCAATTTTCCTTTGTCAATAAATTCTGATCTTACTTTTCCTCTCTGAAGCACCGCTAAAGCTTCATGAAGTGGTGTTCTTCCATAGTGAGGGAAGCAATAAATGCAGCTTTGTCATATCATCAGGTGCATTGATGATATATGGGGAGTCAGCATTTCATTTTTATTTTTTTATTTTTGTAGAGATGGGGTCTTGCTATGTTGCCCAGGTTGATCTCCAACTACTGGCCTCAACTGATCCTCCCACTTATTCAATTAATGGTGTTGGAATAATTAGCTAAGCATTTGCACGAATTGTTTTTTTTTTTTTTTTTTTTAAGATAGACTCTCACTGTCGCCCAGGCTGGAGTGCAGTGATGTGATCTCGGCTCACTGCAACCTCTGCCTTCTGGGTTCAAGTGATTCTCCTACCTCAACCTCCCAAGTACCTGGGATTACAAACACACGCCACCACACCAGGCTAATTTTGTATTTTTTAGTAAAGACACGGGAATCTCACCATGTTAGCCAGGCTGGTCTTGAACTCCTGACCTCAAATGATCCACCTGCCTCAGCCTCCCAAAGTTCTGAGATTACAGGTGTGAGCCACCATGCTGTGCCTCACACTTGTTTCATTCCCAGTGAACTACATACTGGCAAGCCTATTGGAGCAACGGGCCCCTGAATTGTAATTGTCAGGTTGGCCTATGATGTGGCTGGGGCCTGGATGATTTTATGGTGATATTTTCTTCTTCACCCCAGCCACCAGACCCACCACCCTCTGGCTAAGCTTGAGTTTCCTCCATTCATTCAAATCTTCAAACAGGTGCACTCACAAGAGTGGTATCATTTTCTTCTCCTAAGTCGTTCAGTTTTATGTTATTGTCCCTCATTGCTTTATTTTCAGCTGTGTTTCCATCAATTCTCTTGATTTTTCTAGGAAGAGTCATATTTGTTACAATTTATGGTCAATATTTGTCAACTAGTAAAAACACAGTGTTTATTACAGTTTTTTTTTTTTTTTTTTTTTTTTTTTTTTTTCCCCCTGAGACGGAGTCTCACTCTGTTGCCCAGGCTGGAGTGCAGTGGCGCCATCTCAGCTCACTGCAACCTCTGCCTCCCATGTTCAATCAATTCTCCTGCCTCAGCCTCCCAAGTAGCTGGGATTACAGGTGCCTGGATATCCATGCCTGGATAATTGTGTGTGTGTGTGTGTGTGTGTGTGTGTGTGTGTGTGTGTGTGTGTATTTTTAGTAGAGACAGGGTTTCACCATGCCGGCCAGTCTGGTTTCGAACTCCTGACCTCATCATGCACCTGCCTTGGCCTCCCAAAGTGCTAGGATTACAGGCATGAGCCACCACGCCTAGCCTATTAGTATGTTTTTATATTTGCTCAGGCCTTACCCCCTTCCTTACTCCTCTTTTTTGACAAATAATCTTTAAGTTTGTTCTCAAAATTATCACGTTTGTCGGTAGAGAAAGAACAAAAACAATTTTATAAATACATCATATGTAAAACTCCCATTTTAGAGAGTACAATCCCAATAAAGTAAATTATACATATATCTACATTCACAGAGTTAGAAAAAAAGATTTAAAAGAAATGTGCCAGGCTGGGCATGGTGGCTCACACCTGTAATCTCAGCACTTTAGGAGGCCGACATGGGAAGATCTCTTGAGTCCAGGAGTTTAAGACCAGCCTGGGCAACATGGCGAAACCCCATCTCTCCTAAAAATGCAAAAATTAGTCAGGTGTGGTGGCACTTGCCTGTAGTCCCAGCTACTTGGGAGGCTGAGTTGAGAGAGTGGCTTGAGTCCAGGAGGCAAAGGTTGCAGTGAGCTAAGATGGTGCCACTGCACTCCAGCCTGGGTGACAGAGCTAGACCCTGCCTTCAAAAAAGAAAAAGAAAAAAGAAATGAAAGAAATACGCCAAAATGTTCAGTGTTTACCTATGATTTATTTTTATTTTGCTGTATACTTTTATGATTATTTAAATATTAACTATATTTTACATAATTTTGTGACATTCTAAATATTTGACTTTTATAACAAACCTAGAATTATTCAATAAACAAAATAGTTTTACAAAACATTCTGGCAGACAGAGAAGGAAAAAATTTGCATTTCTTTTCTTTTTTGTGTTTTTAGAAACAGTCTCATTCTGTTGCCCAGGCTCAGACACCATCACAATCCATTGCAATCTCGAACCCCTGGCCTTAGATAATTCTCCTGCCTGGGCCTCCCAAGGTGTTGGTATTACAATCATGAGCCACTGTACGTGGTCAGGATTTTTTTTTTTTTTTTTTTTTTTGAGACAGGGTCTCACTCTGTTGCCCAGACCAGAGTGCAGAGGCATGATCAGGGCTCACTGTAGCCTTGACCTCCTGGGCTCAAGCTATTCTCTCATTTCAGCCCCTACAAGTAGCTGAAACCACAGGCATGCCTTGCCTGTGGTTTTGTAGAACTGGTATCTCACTATATTTCCCAGGCTGGCCTTAAACTCCTGGGCTCAAGCAATCCTCCTGCCCAAAGTGTTGGGATTATAGGCATGAGCCATCATGGCCAGCCTCAAGATTCTGTTTTAAATTCTATTTTCCTGAGCCAAAATTAGATCGTGGTCCATCCAGGATATTTAAAACCAACCTCTATCATGTTCCCAGTAGTAAAATTTAAATTCCTTTACTTATAGTTTTTCAAACAGCTTTGCCCTGTGCTTGATGAATAGGAAATTGATCAAGTATTCATATCTGCTTGTTTCTCCTGCCCCAAAAACTAATCTTCCATTATGATGCAGTTTTTCTAAGCAATGTCAATATTTTTACTTGAAATACATATGGAAAGTTCACAGGCTTTGGAGCCAACTTATCCTTCACTTACTGACTGTATAACCTTAGTCCTGTTGCTATCTTTTTCTGAGACTCATTGATCTCCTTTTAAGTGGGATTAAGAATTATTACCATTTTATTGGCATGTTCAATACATAGTGATTGAAAATCATATTTATTATCATTTTTTAAATTGAGACGGGGTCTCACCCTGTCACCCAGGCTGGAGTGCAGCGGTGAGACCAACCTTGGCTCACTACAACCTCTACCTCCCAGGTTCAACTGATTTTCCTGCCTCAACAACCAAAGTAGCTGGGATTACAGGCATGCACCACCATGCCCTAACTTTTTTTCTTTTCTTTTTCTTTTCTTTCTTTCTTTTTTTTTTTTTTTTAAGTAGAGACAGGGTATTACCATGTTGGTCAGACTGGTCTCAAACTCCTGACCTCAAGTGATCTGTGTGCCTCAGCCTCCCAAAGTTCTGGGATTACAGGCCTGAGCCACCATGACTGGCCCTATTATCACTCTTGATTGTTCCTTAATAGAAGGAAAATAGCAAAGGGTACCCAAAACACCCACATTTTTCAAGACAGTTATTTTCTTTTTTTTTTTAATTTCATTTAATTTTTACAACACTATGTGATTGAGGCTATTATTTCCATTTACACATGTTCAGATTGAAGAAGGTGGTAGTCTCATTATATGGATCTGATGACACCTGGAATACTCTGTATAGAGAATAGTAAACTGCAGGGAAACTGCAATAGATGGTGAAAATGTTCATGAAAAGGAATTGAAGTTAGGCACAGTCAAGGAGACTTCACCAAATTCTACTCCTGAAGTTAAGCATAATCTCTCAGAGATGTCTTATAATGTTAAAATTTATAAAGGAGGTTGGGACTACTAGCTATGATTTTCCTCAACTTCCCTTCTTAACATCTTCATACTTTCCCAAAGCCCCAGTCAAAAGATAAAATAAGCCAGGCATAGTGGCTTTCACTTGTAATCCCTGGACTTTGAGAGGCCGAGGGGGACAGATTAGTTGAGTCCAGGAGTTTGAGACCAGCCTGGGCAACATGGTAAAACTCCGTCTCTACCCCAAAAATACAAAAATGAGTTGGGCATGCTGGCACATGCCAGTGGTCCTAGCTACTCAGGAGGCAGAGGCGAGAGAAT